GTGTGTGTGTGTGTGTGTGTGTGTGTGTGTGTGTGTGTGTGGGTTTGAAAACATTTTTTTGGTGCTGAAGAAAAACTCGGTGAACATTGATTTTGATAAATTCAGAAATCGGTGATTTGTTTTTGTTTCACAAATGGGCTAGATAGCCAGTCGACAAAATCTAAATATTTTAAAAGCCTTACTAAAGTTTCTTATGAAATCCACAAGAACAATCATCATAATCGATTTGGTTTCTACACCAAAAAATAATTTAATTTCGCCACACTGTCTAATTATTATGGATATGATCTTTACTATGATATTCGACAACATATTGCCATTATGATTGAGATCTTTTTAACGCCAATGTGAGGCTCACCGGAACAGCATCAAGTCAAGGGATATATAGTGCTCATGCTCTAGAAGTGCTCGACGCTTCGAGTGTCACCGAATGTTTTGGCGCGTGCAAAGTGTCTAAGTACAATTGCCAATTCACATATACTTGACTACAGATTGCCTTCTATCTGTACCTTACCAATAGTAGTTTGAAATCTAAAAAAAAACTATATGTAACAACAATATTTGCTCTCTCTCTTTCTCTATCTGCTTTTCCCATTCCTTCCGCCGTCGCCTCTATCTCAATATGGATGATGTCACAAACATGGAAGAAACGAGTTCTTGGCATACTTCGTTTCTTCATTTGTTTTTGGGCAAGTGCCTTTTCATGTGAAGAGCAAGATGATCTGAACGTGCAAAACTACGCTCGCAGACGATGCATTTAAATGGTTTAGCACCGGTATGTTTTCGGTAGTGCCTTGTCAATTCATCCGAACGTGCAAAACGCCATTCACAGTCTGTCCACTGACATTGGTACGGCTTCTCACCTTTCAAAGGAAACAAATCAGAGAAATAATTTTAAATTTATTATTACATCTTATCTACGAATAAATATAATTTGATCGAACTATACTATAAAACTAGCAACGACAACGTTTCAAATGAAGTTCTGATAATGATCGCAGTTACGATTTCTTCTTGGTTCTGACTGATTTGAATTTAAAAACATGGTAAATCAGCTGCAATACACAAACTGTCAGGAATGAAAGTAAAACTTCAATGAGGTATATATGCAAAAATGGCACATAAATTCGTCTTTCTTGTTTCATTTCAATTTTTTTTGGCCGTGAATACAACAGGTTTCTCTTTGGTCGGCTTCAAGTTCCTGTTTCTACACACTTTGACAAGCTTTGGCAACTATTCTCAACGGTTCATAAAGTTTATAGCATTTCAACTAAATTCACTGATGAATGATGAACCATACAAAAAAGTATATCTTGCGTCATTCTCTCTCTTTTCATATGGAATACATTAAATAGATATTTAATGTCAAACTGTAAAAATCAAATGTATTGAAAAAAAAGAAGAATAGAATGAACAACGAAGCGGATGACCGTTAGCCACAATATATGACCAGAGGACATATTGAGTAAAATTAAAATGTTATACCGCAACCATTTCGTGCAAACTGTGGTAAAAGTCTTTCTATTCGCGTATGTTACTTTCTTTTGAAAACCAAACTTAATGATCAGAAGAATCTATTTAAAAAAAACATTTGCTACATCCGGTTCATAAAATAAAACAGTTTCATATTGTAAAATACATGCGTTCTGTGTCATTTGACAATATATTTTTACTGTTTTCAATTTTATTTGTATTCACACAACTTTTTAGCTTTTCGCAATTGTGCAGTAGTAAAAATAGGGAAAATGCCTTAAACGTAATTTTGTGTATGGAAGTGTGAATTGGTATTGTGATTGGTGAAAAATTTGGGAATATCAATGGAAGATGGATTCTCAACAAGTTTTTTCATTTGCATAATTCCAAAATGGTTTGTTCTACGTTGACCGCTTTCGGGCTTGCTGGCCATTAGATTCTATTTTACTAAAAAAAGACAGCCAAAAAATCAGATGTACCATTTCCCTGTGAAATCGTTCGCACTTTTTGGAATACAATATCCGCAAAATTGTATGTGAGCATTGCAAAAGTTCATTCGAATATGGGCAAAGGTACGGAAAAGTTCATTTTGTGTCAGTAAGACATTAAATTTTTTTGCTACATTTCGTAGTTATGAAAAATATTTCTTCGAAACGTGCTAAACTAAGCGTTGTAATTTGCTTTCATTTTTTTATATTCTACCGAATATGATAAACGGCTTCTTAGTGTGGCTTAAAAATTTTCGAGGAAATTTCCAACTTCTGTAATCTTTGAATATGTATTCATCATCAAACAGAAAAAAAAATTATATTATTATTATTATTGACATTATTTAATCAGAAATTTCCACTGAAATATCTTTTATTTTACGATCGTTCACTCTGATATCGGGCGAATCAGCGTACGAAATAACATTTTTATCATATTGCAGCATTGAGCAGCAAAATTGTTTTTGTAAACGCGAATGTACTTGTAAATAAACATCGTTAAATCCAAGCAAAAAAAAGGGTTATCTATACAAATGATATTGAGCAGCGATTTAGACGAATAAGAGAAGAAAAAAAAGTAATGCAGATAAAGTATCATCAACGTAATTGTCAGGATTCCAAGTTTTGGTGTGTATGTTTAATTAAGGCGGGACATACGTTTATTAAGTTTTCTACATCTTCTACCTCTACAAACTACGAAAGGCATTAAAATCGTTCGGGTGTTACTTTTTTTCTTCTCTGTCTTCTCCGTAAGCACACACCACATCGAACAATACACATATGAGCAAGGCAGCTGATGAGTTGAATGAGGCTCAATAAAGACATGCCATCAATAAAAGAGCCTGTGTACACTTTATTTTTCAAAGTTTTTGGCGTAGGTGCATCATATCCGGTGCATCATATACACCATGTGAAATGCTCGACTACATATTTATCTCCAGAGACTTCGATGTAAAAACGCGTACGGTTGAGATTTTGACGGTATCTCATTCATTTAAAAAAAAAAAAAAACAAGCAGGCACACATACACAAAGAAGCAAAACTATACGTATGATATATTACAATCTGAAGATACACCAATTTTTTGCATTCAGCCAATTTTTCAAAAAGAACAACAAACAGAACGTAAACGTTGATATTTTTTTTTCGGCGGATCGACGTTGATTCTTTTCGATTATTCGTACGGCGCTTGATTCCTTCCGGAGACGAATATGCATCGATAATCTTTTGCATTTTGATTTGTTTATCGCATATTCTATCTCCTTTGGGATTTGTTCGCTTTAGAAAAAAATATGCCTTTTTCATACCATTTCTCTGTTGTTTTTGTATCACTTCGTTTCTTTCGCATTATTATTCTCAAGTACAAAGTGAATGGTTAATTTTTTTTTTAAATCTCCTAATTTACAGTGACAACACGGTTGACCACCTATAGACTTGATCGCGTTGCTGTAACAACATTGTACGTTTGGCTGCATAGATAGACGATCTTCACATAACATGAACAATGCTAGAGTGTACGCAAATCATGTATTCAATTAGTTGAGGTATAATGTTGATGCTATTGCGATTCACTTGTGTTTATGTGGAAATGTGCTTGTGCACATAACACGGCACTCTAATGAATTGCAATCGTCCACTGTTTCCAATGAAAGCACGAGCGCCAATCGCATAAATATTATTACTGGGCAAAGAGCAGGTATTTTCAACAGAAATGTTGTTGTTGAAAATAATATATATTTGTTCTCTTATTTGTTTCAAGTTCGTTTGGCTATTTGCGCTGAAACTCGGCTTACCTGTATGAATGCGCTGATGTGCTTTCAAATGAGAACTTTTTGTGTAAACCTTGTTGCAACCTGAAAAGAAAGCATTCTTTTACTTCGAAGCACCATTCTATTTAATTTAATTGTAGATGATTTTAGGAGAGAAAAAAACCAAGAAAACTAACTGACGATTTCTGTTTGTTTTCGGAACAAATTGACTAAAAATTCGTAATTCCTTTGGTTTGAGGCCAACCGATAAACTATTTGCACCAAATTCATTGCTTACCTAGAAAATCACAATGATGAATTCGCCGCTTTTCCAATTCCGGATTATTTCTGCGATTGTACCGCATAACCGCATTTTTAACCGTAAGTGATGTGTTACCACCGACACGATTCATGCTTCGTCTGCTGTTGTTTGTACTAGATCCACTATTTATGTTATTTGGAATATTGGGAAGATTGGTGATGTTTTGGCCTTGCGAATTATCAGAATTTGGTTTGGACGATTGCATCAAATTTGAATTCGATATGATCTGATTGTCTTGACTATTTTGATGATTGTATGGAGGTGGTGGTGTTATTCGTATTTGAGTTTCCTGGCAAAATAGAAAAAAAAAACAGATCACAACAATCAATGAATGCTAATGTTTCACGGTTTGATACAATTCAAGTTATTTTCCACTTGTGGATTTACTACGATTGTGATCCAATCGAAAACATGTAGACTGTAGACAATTATTTGTGAATTGTCAATAAAAAATTAAAATACATAAAACTAGACACAATACGGAGAAAAATAAAAGTGCTAACCTGCCAGTTGTAGTACACGTGATTTCCATTGTGTTGCACATGATAATGCGGCGTATGAGTATGTTGATGCATATTTTGATGCATTGGCATCGCCAATAAGCTATTATTTGATTCGGCAACATTGAAATTTGCGTTTTGATTTAGTGTATTATCGAAGTGACTTTGTTCGAAATGGCTATTGGATGTTGTCGGTCCACACAGAAGATTATAAGTCGATTGATGATTGTTGTTATTGTTGCTATTGTTATTATCATCACTTTGGGTGAAAAGTTAAAATGATTTTTCATTGAGTGAATACATTTCATAGTAAAATTGATCGAAATACTGTTTTGTTATTATGTTACAGTACGTGGAACAACAGAGATAAATGTTGTGCAAATTCTTACCTGCCTAAACTATTGGAGATGATACCATTTAAATAAATTGAATGTGATGATTGCACACCATGATTTGGATGGGTCTGATGATGATGATGCGATGAATTGGATGGTATTGAAACGTACACTTGCGATGAACCATGCGGTGGTTTCAGTTCGGGTTTTATTTCCAATGGACTTAGCAGCGGGGCAGTGGACAAATTCTCAATGTATTGATCAGCATCATTGGCTTCAAGTTTGACATGTGTTGCGACCGCCCCGCCCAGCATTATCGCATTCTCCGGATCAATATTTTGTATTGAACTGGTGATATCCTCCCAGAGCGGTGGTCGCATGTATGATTCTTCTGACGCACTTGACATACAAATATATTCTTTGTGTACTTTAGCACCGATCGGCGAATCCGCCGCATATTTTGTCAACAAATTGTAAGGATTCGTATCATTTTCGGGATAGGTTTTGCTAAAATTACAATCGATGCCATAACTGTCATAAATGGTACTACTCGAATGACCCAGCCGCGGTGATGATACATTTGTGATTAATTGTTGGTTACGCGGGATAATCTCAACTTTGAAATCGGAGTCAGATTTATTGGGACGGCCAACAAGTTCATGGCGATATTCAAGTTCTGGAGACTGAAATTAGAGAAAAAGAAAAGAGTTTGGTCAATTTTCATGTGCGATCATAGAATAAATTGATTACTGTGTAAGTATTTGAAATGCTGATCCATTTGGATGCAGGATTGAACTGATGTTGTTTTTTCTGGGACGTAATATTCCGACAAGAGGTAAGAAGAAGATTTTTTCCTGATACTTTTCATCATGGCTGTGAACTTTGATTCCTCTTTACATATGTTTGTATCAACTTTTATAAGAGATTCAAGCATCAAATTAATTGTTTCTGATTTTGAGAAAGAAAAAAAAAAACGAAGAGTGGTAATGCCACATAATACTTCGAATTTCAATCTCAAAGTAAATCTTTAACACAAAGTTTGGCTTAATTCAAGAATCAACAACATGAGCATCATATGAATGTTTTAGAGCGAAAATGTAATACAGAAAAGTTGAGCGGAAAAGGGATAGCTATATAGTAAACTCTAGTGAACTATATAGCTATCCCTTTTCATTTGACATTTTTCCGCTCAACTTTTCTTCATTACATTTTCGCTCCAAACCATTCATATGTTGTTGAATCGACGAGCATCCTAATCGACGGCCAACAACAACAGCAACAGCAAAAACGACGAAAAAGAAAGAGAGAGTAAACAATATACTCATGCATGAATAAACTCAAAATCATAATTTAGTGTTTTTCATATGCATGCATTGTTCGAATTTAAGATGTTAATACACAATAGAATATATGCATATGGAAATGAGCTATATATGTATGCTTTCATTCAATCTTATACACTCACACACAAATTCAGCAGATTAGCTGTTGTGCATTATAATACCATTGAGCAGGCAGCATAAACATAAACATATAAGTAAGGAACAGGTAGGCGGTTTATTTTACACAGCGTGAGTAATTCTCATGATGACTATGAATTATATAAGTCTCTCTTGTTTCCCTTTATTTTGTCTTCTTCCTGACCAAGTGACAGAAAACACCGCAAGAGCCTTAAACCAAAAGAAAAGTCTATATTTTTCTCAACATCAATTATTTATATTTCTTTTGCTTTGAACCCATCTTTTCGAATAATTTTCGATTCTTTCGTTTTTTTCTCTCTCACTCTCTCTCTCTCCTGTTGCCATTCGGATTCGTTATCATTATTTATTTTGTGTTTGTCTTCTAATTGACGATATGATATAATGTGAGTTTTTGTCAGCAAACAAAAATATATTAGTGGGACGAGAGCGAGAGAAGAGAATAATACACTTGATCCTGGCATTTTAAAATCCAATAATTTATTCATTGTGAATTTGAGTCGCTTTTGTTTCGAATCGATCATAATTTGTGTTTTCGTGGTTTCGGTGCGAAAAAGAAATCGTCACTTTTCTATATTTCTTTTGCGCAACAACCGAATATTTTATCAACATTGGTAAATTGAAATGGCAACAACACCGATCGAATGTTATGTGCCATTCACAATTTCAAAGTGTTTGGAAGCCAGATTTTGTGTGCTCTATATTTGGTAAAATTCGAAGAAAAGAGATCATGTGTTCAATGTTTGATCTTCATCGTTGCTTCAATAGTTCAGACTATATGCATGACTATGGTGTCTTTAGGCAAATTCAATCAACGCATTCAATTTCCTACAATGCCCTTTGAAATAAATAGAATCGAGTCAAGCGGGAGTTATTTGAACCGACTAAGTCAAATATTCGTCAATGAATTCGAACGATACGGTCTAGATGTATGATATCAGAATGACATTTCAACCGTCGGTGATTTGACAAATTCATATTGAATTTACAAGGAAAGTTAAAATGCCAATCAAATTCGTTTATTTATTTCTTGTATTTTGTTGTTCGCTCTCTCTCTCTCTCTCTCTTCCTCTTTCTTTCTCACTTCTTCGATTCTTTGGCTGGAATGATCTGCGTGCGCAAGCAGCACACAGTCTGCCATTTCAAAATTGCTATCTTCGTGGTACGGCAAGTGAACGTCGTTGTGTTCCATGTCGAGGAAAGAAAAAAAAGAACACATCGAATATGTTAATGAGGGTGAAAGAAGTCAATATCAGATAAATATCAATAGATGGTCTCTATCCACAAGAATGTGGATAATTGATGAATTTGAAAAAGACTTTTTAATTGACGAATATGGCGAATATTACAGCGTTGCAGTGACCTCAATTCTCTCCATCTTGTAAGTTCAGCTCTCGGTTTGTGCACATTTATGCAGCATTTTCATACGTGCAAACACGAATACATGCATACATTTTGTATACGATCATTGGAAAAATGCCCAAATAACACCTATTTACACTGAACGAAAACGTGTCTCAAATTATATACAGATATAGTTATTATGCACATAAGATCAAATAATCTCAACAATTTTATTACTGCTTACACTCGATCAGCTGTCTGACTTTGAATTGCCAAGTGTTTTCTTGGCCGTTTTATAAGAATCAAATTGAAAGTTATGCTAATGCTTGAACAAATCGAAGAAGCAATAACAAAAGAACAACAACGAAACAAAACCATTTTTGTTTAGCAAAGTCAAAGAGAAAGAGTTCCTATGGACTTTGATTGAAAAATGCCATCATCTGTTATGCAAAAACGAAAGAAAAAATAATAATAATAATAATAAACAACTACACCAGCGCACCAACAACACCGTCGTTGGCATTCCTACAGTTCTTCTATTTCGACTCGGAGATTATATCGTGTAATGTAATTAAATGGTATGTGTTTATGGTTTTGTCTTTTTTTTTCTCTTTTATTTCTCTCTCTCTTCGCATACATATCGTCTATGTTGGTACTTCCAACCAGACTTTGGCTCGCGCTCTGCGAAACTTGCTAAAGAGCACCATACAAATGAGACGAGAGAAAAAAAGAGAGAAAAATCACACAAAGATATTAAAGATCCAAATACCAAACGACACAACACACCGCTCAGATAAATTCAATTAATCAAATCGTACAATCCAGCTCAATTCATACTAGATTGGGTACAAAATGAAAACAATTCCAAAACCGTATTATAATCATAATTCAAACTTTTCCAACGAGATTTGTGCGCGATGTGAAGCGAAATTTTTTCATGCCACACACTGTGGACGATAGAATTTATTTTTCGTTTTTCCTCTTAGTTTCAAGCGAAACCAATTCGAACATCTTTCATCATATTTTTGTTTTGTTTCAACTTGTTTATACTTTTCTCATCATTTGTATGCGAAAAAGTGCCAATCCGTGTGTGCGCGCGAAGCAACAGACAAAAACGACAAAATGAGAAGGTTGCAACAACGGCGACGAAATCAGCACTTAGAATTGGAAAGTACATATCGTTTTATTAATTTTTTTTATTGCGGTCGTTGACATTGTAATTCGCATTCAATTCCATTTTGCTCGCCACAAACTTTTCAACACGATAAGCTTTGGAATAAATGCCATATATGTTTATCTGGTCGCTCGATTAAACCTATTTTATTCCCTCTCTCACGCGCACAAATTGAATATTTTTCTCTCTAGTTACCTATTTCATCATATAAAATCACTGTGTGTTTAGCCATTCTGAATTTAATGCGTGGATTTCATAGCTTCTATACTATGTTGCAAACTTTTGAATCAAATAAAAAAAAAGCAACAAAAATGAAATGGCCATAGAATCGTAAAGAGATTAAATGCCATGCGAATATTCGCAAATATTTGTGAATTATTGCGAATTGTGTTTTATTTTCAAAGCATTGTTGCTTTTATTGGTTTTGTGAGGATGAGACGAGATGAACCGAACGAATTATCCATTTTTAATTTGTTTGAATTTTTGGTTATATTTTCATTTGATGCCATTATGGTTTTTGTTCCGCTTCACAACAAACCATCACCGCCGGCCGCCGTCGCGATGGAACGATAAAATACGCGATTTTTACACGTGAGTTTTAGCGACGACAATCCCAAAATCGCGAAAGTGTCGAGAGAATCAATGTTGAATCAAATCAGGAGATCCAATCGGTTGGCTGAAATGTAGCATCTTCATTTCACCTCAAAAGTTTTATTAAACAATCCACGGCACAGCACAGCACAGCACAATAGGTGGGTGGAGTTGCTTGCACACATTCGTCAAAATGCTATGCTCATTTTCTCGCACATTCATACATATTTACACTTATTAAATTACTATTTAACATTTATAAACGGCATCGTCATGAAAAATACGTTCCATCACCGCATTGTTAATTCCATATAATTTTATGACAGTTAACTCAAAATAACACACTAAACAAATGCATGAATGCATAAATAATAATGAAACGAGAGAAAAATGTGTGTTTGTTGCGAGATGTACTAATTGATTTTCGGAATAAGTTTGTGCTCTTTTTTTCTTCTCTCTCTCTCTCTCTCTCTCCTTTCATACTTGGAATCGGATATATGTTGGCTGCATTTGACTGAAACGTTGTCTTCGAATTTTCGAATTTTCATTTGAAATGCGTTGTCATCGCGCGCGCGATGGTGTGAAGCAATACAATGAACAAAGAGAAAAAAACAACTAAATATTAATAGAATCGGTTCGATGTGGTGTTTAATTTTTTTTCTGTTCAACTTCTTTCTTGCTCGAAAATCAATTCATTTATGTATTAAGTGAATAAACCTCGGGGCAAATATGTAGGTGAACTAGACTTTAAAATGAATGAAAATCTGAATATGATTTCTTTACTAAATGACGAAAGCGGATTGAATACAATGCGGCTTGTTAATCGATTACTGCACAGCGATGTCGATTTGTATTCTACCAATTTTCAAATGATTTACACACGATGGACTATTTCGCACTCCAAAAAATCGCTTGGACAATTATTTTTGTCAGAGTTCATGCGTGTGTGTGTGTGTGTGTGTTCGTGCGGATTTGATTGGAAATCATTCAATGAGCTCACATATTCAAGTCAAATAGATTTGACCGAAAAAAAAGGGGAATTGATGAACCTTTTATTTGTTGCTACAAAGGCAATCATTTTAATTGAGTGCATCCG